AAATTCACCCTGAATTGGCGCTGAAGTCAAAATATAAAGTATATTCTACATAAAATACATGTTTTATTTGCGTTAAAAATTCATTTAAATTTTTTCAAATGCAGTAATCTGTTAAAGTAAAATTTTCATATGTTCATGAAAGGTATGAAACCTTCGGCATAACCGAAGACAGCGCTGCACTTACTTGTTTTTAATAGGTTTAGGAACTATAAGAAACCTAGTTTCAGGTTGTAATCGAACCTAGTTACAACGTACATTAAGTTATCAATCAAAAATTACCTTCTCTGGTCATTTAAAATTATTAAACAATTCGATAAACTTATTTCCACATCCTTATATATAATAACGGGCCTTATAGATTTAATTTTAAGATCGAAATTTATAAAAAATTCTATTTTTCTATTTTCTGTATATTGAACCAGACCTCTACATCCATATGTTATTCGACCCCTAAATGCGAGTCCGAGGTCTGTTAGCCTCCATCACGTCAGGTTCGAGGTCATTTGAGACCTTCAATTACATTTAAATAATAAAATAATTGGTCAAAACTTTTTAGTATATGGGGTCGTAAAGTTATGATAAGCACTATACATATGTCAGCTGTGGTTTATTAGTAGAACGTATGTTTTAAAATACGTTGTGATTGAAATAATGCAAGCTACAATGCGTTTTGGCCATACATACACTAAGAAAAAAGTAACATGATTTTCTCAAACAGCGTCACTTCTGGGTTTTCAATGTTAACGATTCGATATAATTGAAGAGAAAAAGTATTTTTTAAACAAACTTAAACATAAGTTTGTTTGATCGATCACAGAGTGTGGTGTCTTGAAATTATCATCAAAAATCAGTAATAAAATTTCAAACAACGCCACTCTGTTGCTTGTGAAAAGTTTGTTCGACCGGTCACAGGATGCTCTTGTCTACAAATTTTTATAGAGAACTAGCCAATGCGCGCTTGCGTCGCGGCGCTTAATAAGCACTTTTGTGGGGGCCATTGCAAAAATAGCGTTTAAAAGAAAAAACGGTATGTAAAGTAAAAAAAAAATAAACCACTAAAGAGCAGAATTCTCCTCATACATAGGCTAAAAATACCATATGGAATACTAATCCCTTTCGTTGTCATGAGCTTTGCCGATGGTCCTATTTCCACTTGTGAAATCTCTGCCAAGCGTTCATAATCTTCTTTGATCTTGCAACTACAACATTGCTCTGATGTGTAAGCCAACAAAAGTCCTTATAAGGAAGCTCAAGAGCACAGATGTGCGTTTTCTGTTATAGGAGGGCCAAGCGTCCTCGCTGCCCCACAGGATGAAAAGTTTTCCCGTACATTGGCTAAATGCGCCGTGTGATCTATTGAATATCATTCAAATGAAGCCATTGATATACCAATCGTGTTCCTTCTTGATCGGATGTGGTCGAATCTTTCCTTTTCAACTCGCCACTTTTACAATTCGTCTTAATATTTATGAACTGGTTTCTTTGAGTATAACTGCTGCAATAACAGTCGCCCCGAGCAAATTCGTTAATCGGAGGTAAATGCAAGATCGCATTAAGGGTGTATGAGGGCGTCAGACAAAGGTGCGCTTACACAATTTCATTTAGCCATCTGAAAAGTCAATTCGTATAAAATAAACATGCATCGCATGGATGAACTGTTAAATAGTTAGTTAGTTCAGAGCTTTTTTAACTGTAAATTCTGATGAAGTTGTGTTTTTCTATTATATATGTATATGCTCAAAACAACGTGGAGTAAGTCATTTTTGCTAATACAGTAATTTTCGTCATGTTTCGTAAGCACTTTGAAATGAAGTCTTCTTCGATGATATGCCCAAGTACCAAAATTTCACTGTGATGAGCATTTCGCTTGCGATGAAAGTGACAGATCTCCTGCGATTTCTGTACGATAATGTAGAGAGCAAGTAAGTAAGTACATTACTGACAACATATGTACATATGAAGCTGTATCAAATTTCAGTACGTTAGCATAAGCGGTTCCAGAGATAAGCGATATAAAAACTTCAGTTTGTGGCACCCCCACGCCCCTCTTACAATACCCGCCATTTTCCGTCATAAGTACGGTATTGATAACATATGTAGCTGTGTCAAATTTCAGAACGTTGGCTTAAGCAGTTTCAACGATAAGCGATATTAAAAGTTCAGTTTGTAATGGGAGGTACCAGGCCCCCTTTTCCAATACTTGCCACTTTCCTTTGTGAGTACGGTATTAATAATATATATAGCTGTGTTAAATTTCAGGACGTTGGCTTAAGCGGTTCCAATGATAAGCGATATGAGAATTTCAGTTTGTATGGGAGATGACACGCCCCGTTTTCCAATACCTGATTTTTTTCCATGATAACATATGCGACTGTGTCAAATTTCAGCAGGTAGCATGAGCGATTCCAGGGATAAGCAATATGAGAAGTTCAGTTTACATGGGAGGTGCCACGCTCCCTTTTCAAATACCTGCCACTTTTCGCCATAAGTTCGGTATTGATAACAATTATAGCTGTGCCAAATTTCACGACGTTAGCATAAGCGATTTCAGAGATAAGTGATAGGAGATGTTCAGTCTAAATGGCTGGAGCCACGGCCCCTTTCCCAATAGCTCCCAGTTTTCGCCATAAGTGGGGTATTTATAATTTATGCATCCGAGCCAAGTTTCAGTTCCCCAGCGTAGTTGGTTTAAGAGATATATTGGCGCGCTCAAAAAAAAGGTTGCAACATTTTATTGTGACGTATGTATATGTGTAGATGTTCATCATCCTCCCACTGAATAACAACGTTAGGAATATCCCGACCCCAGCGCCTCCTAGTGTGTAATTTTTTAATCCAAATATTCTTTTCATCTGGCTAACAAATGTTCTAAATATGAGCCATATCTGCAACTAAATGCAGTTTTTAAGAATATCCCGACCCCAGCGCCACCTAGCGATTAAATTTATAGTATGAATATTTCCCTTCAAGGTGCTGACACATGTTCTAAATATGAACGAAATCGGTCCAGCCATTTGGTAGTTTAGTGACATAGAGTATACGTAGGACTCTATGAAATTGTGTAATCGTGTCGTTTCAGCTTTCTTAATTTTTTGGCAACAACAACCAAAAGTTTTGAATTTTTTTCATCGACAAAGCTTCCACATAGAAGATCCAAAAAAGTACTTATTACAGAATTGAAATCGGTTAAGCCGTTTGGTCAGGCATCGCGGTCATACGAAAGACATTTCATTTTTATATATGAGACATTCTTTTTCTTATCGGACACCAAAATTGGTGTCACAGTTTCGATTGGCTTAAAATTTTTGTATGGGTTCTATACACGAAATAAGCTAATACGTGTTCGAGGATTTTTTTTTGCTTTTTTCTTTAGAGATATGATCTGCCAAAGTTTGCATTTTTTCTTGATTCTAACTAATCATGTACTCCCTCAAATTGATATATCTCGGGTTCTGCCCATCGTAGAGATTTCATCTTAACGCCGTTTTAAAGCTAAAGAAACGAGCTTAATATTTCTATATATAAGAAGGTCAAGAGATGGTTTATTTTGTGAGAATCAACATTTTTTTGTAATTTGTTTTCCAAAACTTATGTTTATTATTTAGTAAGGTGTTAAGCCTCGAGTTTGTGCAAGAATTTAAATTTTATTGCATATTCCGATAGAACACCTATCCAGGTATAATATTTGTATGGCAAGATTTTTCTCTAAGGCGACAAACCCCTAAAAATGGGTGTGACAATCGTAGGCACAGTATATACAGTAATAAACCTTTTCGCAGTTTTTTACCATTTGGTCCCCGAGGAGTACTTTTGGGTTGTGTGTAGCGTTTTCGTTTTGCGCGCACGGCAACACTTACTGTGGGGAATTTCGCCTCATGATTAGAAAAGTTCTTGCGAGGATAAAATATACATAATTATGTGTTATTTATGAACAAAATGTAGGTTAAGTATAATATTCATCTTTAATGTATACTGATATTCATGCTTAATGAAGAATAATATCAATCGTTAAGTACATAATTAACGCTTGTGTTGTATAAACTGGAAAACTCAAATCGTAATTAAAGCACTGAATGGAGTTTTCTTAAATGTAAGTTTAAAATTAAAAAAAGTCCATTATAAGATTATATTTTTATGAAAAACGTAAATTTTGTGAATTTATCAAGCAAAATTCTAAATTTCCGAATATATCTCAGTCTTTATTTAAAAAAAAACAAGGTTTGTATAGTTATAGAGACCCCAATGCCTGCCAGCGCATCCGCCCAGACAGTTCATTAAGCACACCCAAGTTTGAGTGATCTACAAGTTATAAACGTTTTCAGAATTTAACAGTTCATTATCAAGTACGGTGTAATATAACAAGTTATACACTGAACTATGATAATCTGTACTAGTATCTATAATAATAGACAATAATTTGCAATGTTTTTACACTTTTGCAATTAATTTCGGTCATTATTACACAGCCATGACTTGTGCCACTCTGCCATAGTACGGTTGTTGCCCCCTTTCATACCACAGTAATTTTGTATACAACTCTGAATGAACAAAATGCATGCTCCGTCTCATTATCAACCCTGATCAGATTTTACCCCCGAGGAGTACTCAAAAAGGTTTATTACTGTATATACTGTGATCGTAGGACTAAAGTTTGCAAAACGCAGATTTTATTGCGGATTTCGGCAGAATATCGCTTCGTTAACAACATTTGTTCCACAACTTTTTGAATGAAAGAATATTCTAGAAATGGGCGTGGCTATATTAAAACCAAAGTTCAAAAATTTAGACTTTATTGTGGATTTCGCCAGAATATCTAATTGGAATTGACACACATGAAATATGTTGTTACAGTTGGAGGTAGAGTCCAAGAAGTCCATTTTCACTTTGACTATTAAGTTATGCATTTTATTAAACAAATGATAGCTGCTACTTTCTCTAATTTTAAATACTCTAATATCCATGCCCATACTATACATACACAGGAAAATTCAGACGCTTACCTTTAGTATCAAGTAGACCTCCGATCTGTGTCAAATTACAATCCCGCTGCACTATGTAGTCAAGCATTGTGGATTCCATGAGAAAGGCGTAGTTACCTTTGTTCACGCGCCTTATACCCTCTTCGTAGGTGGAAGTGAAAGCGATAGCTTTCCTATTCTCCATGTTGCGCCACATTTTTCGATATGTTTCAATGATTGAGTCGCGAAAAAACGTCATAGTGGAGCCACTTTCCAGTGTGCCGTAGAAGATCTCGGTTTGGCTGGCCAAATCCTCAGCATTTTCAATAGGAGTTATCATGCGTTCGACGGTTAAAAATGCCGCTAAGTTAGCTGTGTACGAAGCAATGATAATAAGCGTGAAGAACCACCATATAGCGCTAACAATACGTGTGGATATCGACTTAGGGTTTATGTCAGATCCTTGCTGCATCAACGTGCCAATTGTAAACCAAAAGCTATTAGATAATGAAAACTGGTTAGTTATGGCAGGATTTCTCATGTCACATGGATATTTGTCTCGCCACTCGATTGGTGAAAACTTTGCCACGATGTAGATGGTGAATGAAACCAAAAAATAAGCAGCTAAAACGTAGAGCCACACATCATAGGCCAGTGGATTCATGAAGGAAAACAAGCGAGAAGCCGGTGTGGTTGGCACCTAGTAGATAGACGACAGGGGACAAAGTACATAAGTATATATTTTTCTAGCAAAGTATTGACGTCGTTCGGAAATGTAAAATAGTAATACAAATGTTAATTTATTTTATATATTTATTTCTTACAGCTTAATTAAGCCCAGCTTGAACTTGTGCTGGCTACTGCATTAATAATAATAGATTGGCGCTTACACATATCGCACACCGTCTTCAAAAGAGTCACAACTCAAAATTTGTCATTTTTGAAATTATGCGCTAAAAATGTACACAGACCTTTTATTTACCTTTCAGCAAAAGCTGGAGCAAATTTTTGTTATAATTTGTTAAAAAACCTAAGGTAAAGTCGTCCTTGCCCATATGATTAACATGTGCTACGAAATAGTTTTTCGCATTTTCTGACTCTTTTGAAGACGGTGTGCTATATGTTAATGTTTGGCCGAGCTTCTCCTCCGATTTGTGGAGTGCGCTTTGATATTGTCACACAAAGCGGAGGGACCTACAGTTTTACACCGACTCCGAACGGCGATTGTATAATGATGAGAAGCTGTTTTTCATGGCAGAAATACACTCGGAGGTTTGCCATTGGCTGCCGAGGGACGACCGCTGTTAAGAAAAAACATTTTTTTTCTATATTTTTTTTTTGCGATGTTGCTTTGACCAGGGCTTGAACCCTGGTGCTGCGGAGTGGAAGCGCGCACTGCTTACCACTACACCACAGCGGCCGACTGCATTACACTGAGAAAAAAACGGGTTGTAAAATGAAATTTTTTTGTTTGATTACCGTTTGAAAATGTTCGTATTTAAATCAAGTGAAAAGTAATAAAAAAAATGGAAATATTCAATTCAAATACGCCCGTATTAAAATGAACCATTTTTCACTGCACGGATGGCATTTTGAACGTCTCGGATGCTTTCTACCTTTTATTAGCTCGGGAGGTAACTATGCAATATTGATGCGCCTAAGCGATTTAAATTCTCAAGTTACATACCTGTTGACAGTACGAATGGGAATTTTAATAGCGAGGTTTTAGTTATTTAAACTATAATTTTATTCTTATGTAATTAAGGGAGTATATGTATGTATCGTCGTCTCAGAAAACGGATGTCGAATGTTACAAAACACGGTTTTGAGAAAATTGACTTTGAAGTTTAAGGTCGAATTAATCCGGAACTGTACGGCAAATTTTTGTAATTTTTGAAGGAGACGTAGTTGGTGTTATTAGTTTTGATTTTCTATATTTTTACATCTAATATCTCTTAACGTTAATGAGAGAATTAAATTTTCATTCCTTACACATTTGTCGTAAGTAGCGTTTACTGACCACTTTATTTTGTCCATAGAACATACGACAATACTAAAGTAACTATTTCAACGACGATGATATAGTTTGATGAAAAAAACAGACATATTTATTAAATAATGTTTACTTATTAGAAAAACATAACAAAAACATATTCATACTTAAATTCAGTCTTTTGTACATTTTTATATCTTTCATTTCATTGGGGACTCAGTGCAAGCTAAAATATAAAAATTTAAAATTAGTTACTTAGTTTAATTTCCAATTTTAATTGTGTCGTTATAGTAGAGGACCATCGAATTGTTGTAAGTTCAAAGTTTTGCGATACATACGACAAATGTTTTATGATTAAAAAAAGATTACATTTGTATGGGAATTTGTCATATGTGCCACATGCGACAAATGTTTTATGATTTAAAAAAAAGTACGTTCGTATGGGAATTTGTCGTATGTGACGCATTTTCGGCACATAAAACAAAAGGCATACCCAATCATTAATATTATGTAACATACGACAAAATGCGCTCGAAATATCTCAAAAACTAAGGGAGATATAAAAAATGGATTGGGGAAATCAAAAGAGCATGTCCAACTTAGTAAATCTGCATCAAAATCCCAAAATCGTGATTTTGCACATTCGTCATCCGTTTTCTGAGGCGACGGTATACAAATCGTTCACAGCGGTGACAACACATACACCGTACATACATGGTACGACATAATCCCTGCAGGGAAACCCCAAACTAGTCAGGAAAAATATTAGTTTACAACTAGAATTTCCTGACTGAAACCGAACTAGTTCGAAAATTACCAGACTTATACCAAGTACAAACTATTTATTCATGCCCTGTTTTGACTTCGACAGTTTAATACAATAAAGTAAACAAAATATTATAACTTTTATTTGGGTATATTGTAAACCATTAAAGGGAGTACGTATTCAATTATACAAGACCTGTTAAATAATGATTAATATTCATAATGATTATTAATTAAAGCATGTTTCTTTGGATAACCGTTTAATGAGTAATAATTAATATTTTCAATTATTTTTGACTTGTTTCAATTACACGATTATAATTATTTGATTAATTTCTATTATTAATCATCAAGAAAAACTATTGACACTATTATATCATTCTTATCCAAATCTCAAATTTTAAACATTAATTATTACTTTTGTAAAATTTTAAAAAGAAAAGACTGGAATGTGCAAAGTTAATGAATTTAATTTATTTTAATAAAAACTTTTATTTTTATTTTACTTCACTCAAAAATGAACTAAAGTCTTCATTTTATTTTTAACGAAAATGTTTCCTTTGGCATATTCAATATTATTAAAAAAGATAAAAATATACTATTTATTGCACCTGAAACCTTTTACTTTTAATAACCCTTAATGAAAAATGTGTAATATATTAAAGTGTACTTAATAAAAAGTGTTTTATTGTATATTCATGAATTCATTTTTTTTTACTCCCAACGTAGTCGTTTTGGTCCTAATAGGACTAGTATTTTTCTGTCTATTTTGAACTAGTATGAGACTGGTATATTTCTGACCGAAATCTGACAATTGCCATCTCGTAGGACATACCCATGTTAAAAATACCAGTTGATTGCATGGAAAAAAGAGAGTTGGCTGACTAGTTGGGCATGCGGTGCATACTAGTTGTGAGGTAGTTTACAACTAGTACGTTTGACTACAGGGATGCTATAAACGCGCGCTGTGATGTTGATTGATCAACATTTGAAAATACATTTACATGTATGGCTGTAGCCAATGGCGTAGCCAGGATTTGGCTTTGGGGGGGGCCGTGAAAAAAATTTCCATCGATAATTTAAATTTGTGACACACAATGGCTAGAGGCGTCGCCTGAGTGCATTCTTTCATATATTTATGTATGTGCCAGTTTTACCGTTATATATTTTTTATCTACTCGTTTATTCCATGGGGTCTTAATGCTTTATTTAAATTTAAAAAATTAATTTACTATACCGTTTTAAAAATCTGAAAGTTCACTGCGGGAAATTTTTGTATTCTCTTTTTGTCTTCGCCTTCTCGTTTTTGCCTTTATAAGTTTTGAAAAAAGGTTTTGAACGAACCATTATATCACATTCCTAGGCAAGTTTTGAAAGAATATTTTCGATACTAAATTTTATTAAAACAAAATGTTGAAATCAGCTTCATATAGAAACCATGTCATCGACACTCACATATTGACTAGATTTGACTATTTATTTTATTATATTTTAATTGGAATTATTTGTTTATAAAAATATAGTTTATTCCTTAACAAACACTAAATGAAAATAAGTTTAATCTTTGAACAACATTAAAAAAAATCGACATACTTTCGTAAAAATTTCAAACTTTCTATTTCAATTTTATCTCTTAATATTTTGCAGTTTTTTAGCTCATTCAATTTTAGTCTAATAAAGTGCAAATATTTAAAGTAGCTGTGATTTATAGTTGATGTATGGCATATTTTTGACGATGTCGGTAATTTTCTTCCATATTATCTAAGTATGTTCAACGATTTTTTAATGAAGAAAATGAGCAACACCTTCATCAAAAAAAAAAATATATATATAATAAAAATCAACGATAAGTCGCAGCTATGTATTTTAAACTTGCGCTTTATTTGAATTGATCGGGCTACAAAACTGCATACTCAAAATATGTATTTAATATATATTTATAGGAAATCTAATTAAAAAGCTTTACGAATGTTTGTTGAATTTGTTAATGTTGCGCAAAGATTAAACCTTGAATTTATACGGGTTTTGTTAAAGTGTAAACTGCATTTTTATAAACAAATAATTAACATTATATACTTTTAAGATAAATGGCCAATCTAGTTAACATGTATAAAGTTTTGATAAGCACTTGAAATGTCAAGTTTTAGTACTGAATTCAAAGAAGATGTCTCTTTTATCCATTCATAATAACTTTAAACAATTTTTGTGTTAAGAAGTGTATCTTAAAATATCTGCCTTGACATTTATGTTAAAAGTGTAAAATATGTAAATGTACCTACATAAACTTTCCCGTGAATACCATCAAAGCATTGGTCTTGAAGGGAATCTATGTATGCATGCATGCATATTAGCAAATTAAAAAGTCGATACAATTTACAGTCGAAAAGTACAGTTTTTGTATAGATTATTTCGCAAATATTCAAATACATAATCCACAAACCGATAATTTTATATATTCATTAAAAGATAATTTGTCATCATTCTGAAATAAAAAATTATAAATCGGAAGGGTAAAATAGTATTGTGTTATTAATTCAAAAATAACAAGTAAGAAAGTCTAAGTTCGGGCGGAGCCGAACATTAAATACCCGGCGCAAGTATTAAATATATGTTTTTTCACCTTTCCGAAACCTTCCGCTAGATGGTAAGCCGGGGTGTATCAATTTTGAGTAAATTATCGTCCTTCAATTTCGAAATATTGAAGTTTCAAGCATTTCTGAAATTTACCGTTATATGAGAAGCGGCCGTTATTTTAGTCCGATTTCAATAATTTTCAACGGTTTGCTTATATGTGGCAAGCACAATAACCACACCGAGTTTGGTACAAATTGGTAGAACGGTTACCGATATACTTATATGTGATCATAAGTGGGCGGTGCCACGCCCATTTTCCAAAATTTTACCATAAACGTATTTCTTGGTAAAGAATTGTTGCAAGCATCAATTTTGAATAAATTAGCTTCAATATTTACTGATTTATCGAAGATTTTGTATTTCTCTAAATTACCGTTATATGGGATGTGGGCGTGGTTATTGTCCGATTTTAAAAAGTTTCAGCGATTTTTTATGCTGTACCAAGGCCAACAACTGTGCCAAGTTTGGAAGAAATTGGTGCAGCGGTTACCAAGATATACACATGTAACCATAAGTGGGCGTGGCTACGCCCATTTTCCAAAAATTTATAATATTCTTATTTTTCGACTAAAAATTATTATAAATATCAATTTTGAGTGAATAATCTCCAGTAGTTACTAAAATATCGCAGTTTTCGTATTTCTGAAAATTACCGTTATATGGGAAGTAGGCGTGGTTATTGAGCGATTTTAAAAATTTTCGGCCATTTGGTATGCTGTATGAAGGCCAACAATTGTGCCAAATTTGGAAGAAATTGGTGCAGCGGTTACCAAGATATACACATGTAACCATAAGTGGGCGTGGCTACGCCCATTTTCCAAAAATTTATAATATTCTTATTTTTCATCTAAAACTTATTATAAATATCAATTTTGGGTGAAATATCTTCATTAGTTACTAAAATATCGCAGTTTTCGTATTTATGGAAATTACCTTTATATGGGAAGTGGGCGTGGTTACAGCCCATTTTCAATACCAACCTACCTTGGATTAAGGGAAACCTACATACCAAATTTCGTTGAGATATCTCAATTTTTGCTCGAGTTATCGTGTACACGGACGGACGGACAGGCGGACAGACGGACGGACAGACAGACATGGCTTAATCGATTTCTTTTTTCATCCTGATCATATATGTATACATTTGTCTATATCTATCTCGATTCGTTTTGGCTGTTAC